GAAATATCAAGAAAAGTTGTCGGGCAATTGTTGGAGATTCCAAAAATAATATTATATACAGAGTGTTCCATTTGAAAAATCAAAGTTGCTACTGCTTTCTAATAGAAGCGGCAACACCGCATTGTCGAAAATATTTTAGTTGGCTAGAGAATGTCCGAATATGCCCTCCATTAAATTTTCAAAGTGATGCGTTGTCTGGTTCACCAGAAACGTCTAGTGCCATCCACCGTGAATCAGCCTGTATACATATATGTATAAATAAAAATGTAAAAACGTATAGATGTACAAATGTAAAAATGTAAAATTAAAATATAAAAGAATAAGATTATTTACACACAGATATCCACAAAAACTTAATCAGCGAAATACTCTTGTATATAGACGACTTATTGGAAAAAAAAACAAGAATTCTATATATCACACTTATCTCGTCATTTCATTTGGATTCCAGGACATCGGCTGCATTTCTTCACAGGCAGCAGGAGGTTGCATATATTATTGAGAATCTAGAGGTGATTTCGAATTGGAGTAAAAGTAACCAGGACAATTCAATGCCACAAAAAGCCAGGCATTGGTTTTTTCCAAAAAGATAAATGTCTCCGAACCGGATATAATAATAGGACAGACAATTTTGCTGTCTGCTTTGATAAGTTTGTTGGGAGTTAAAATGGACACCAATATGTCTCGGCACAATCACGTCGCTAGAATTGCGAAGGCTGCTTCTCAAAAGCTTAAAACACTGTTCCGAACCAGAAAACTGTACACACCTCAGCAAATGTTGATGCTTTATAAAGCTCAGATCAGACTTTTTGGGGTATTGGTCACGTGTAAAGAGCTCCGTTCCTAAGCACATCCTGAAGTTGCTTGATTCCGGGGAAGAACCATTTGTCTGACTGCAGACACGAATATCGCTTGCAACCTTGATAGTCTGGCACATCCAAGAAAGGTTGGAGATTTATCTTCCTTCTATAGATACTTTGACGGGAGACGTTCAAGTAACTTGACATATTTGATTCCACCAAGAGCGCCGTACAGAAATACGCAGTGGACTGTGACTGCTCATCGTTTTGAAGTTCAACCCAGACATCTTGAACTCCACTGTTTGAAAACTCTTCCATTTGGAGAACTGCGTTTATGTGGAATAAACTATCTGGGAAAGTTTTTCCAAATGAATTTAATATCCAACGATTCGAATCCAACTTGAATTACTACTTTCGCACAGGCACCACTCGTAGAGCATTCTGAGGTTTTTTCTGTAGTGCTTTTGTTTTGTCCTTGAAAAAAATTGAGCAGATTTCAATGTATTGTTTTTGATGTACTGTATTGTCTTTTTTATCCCTTCGATGTTTTATATTAGATCCTCAATTTATCTCATTTCAATGAGGAATTATTCTTATTGAAATAACATTATGGTGAAACGCGTTTTGGTGTCCTTCTTCATCATCAAATTAAAAATGTGGGAAATTCCTTTTTGATCTCTCCCAAAATATTCCCATTTCAATTCCCTGTTCTTAAACTCGAATATTCATCTCAATCGCACCTATAACATATCCCAGGGGTGTAACTGAAGCTCAGAATACTTTAAACAACTTTTTCTAAACTCCTTCAATTCCTCTGTTCCAACAGGAATCTTCAGACCATACAGAAACGAGCCAAGATTCAAAAGAAACATCGACCATTTCTAATTTAGGATACACTCGCTTGGGACCAGTAAAATTATTTGAACCCATCCAGCCATTCGCTCCATCACTACCATTCGAGTTTCCCGAGTCGGTTGGATTGGTCAAGCAGGCTCAAAATACCCTCAAGGAGCAGAACGACTCCCAAGAGGTGAACAGCAAAACCAGTGAAGAGAGATCAGATTTTGATCCGATGAAAAGTATACCTGTTCTTAAGATCCAACCTCCACCACCTCCTCCAGAAGAAGAACCAGTACCTGCTCCAGAAAGTTCTTTCCGGGCTGTTCAAGAGTTTTCAGTTCGTTCGGAACCGCCTTGTGAGAAGAAGTTCGTGGCCCCTGTTCATCAGAAAATGGTTGAACCCTCAGAAGACCGCATTACCAAACCATTTTCTACCCCTGTCACAGAGCCACCTCCTCCCAGCTCCGTATGCAAGTCAGCGTCCCAAACCTTTTTTGCAAATTTAGGTTACGAACCAGTTCAAGCTTTGGCTCCATTGGATATGAATTCTCTGTATTCTTCGTTTCAAAATCAGCAAAATGGCGTGTCAGAAATCAAGGAAGAGAATATCAAGAACTCCCTCAAAGAAATTATTTCGGATTTGGACAGTTTTGCTGAAAGAAATGAGGAGCTGAAGAGTTCTCTGGAGGGAAATAAGGAGAATGTTTCTCATATGACTCGAAATGGGATGTATCTAGGAAAAGAGCAGGTGAGTTAATTTATTTCAGTTATATTTATGTGTTTTTGTTTGAAAATAACAGTTTGGTGTTGGGATAGAACGCCAGTAATATTCCTTACTACACCGAAGGTTCCAAACAGTGCATCGCAAGTCCGACAATCATCTTGACAGAGTGGTATGGATGGATTCTGTAGAATTCGAAGAGAAAATCTCGATATTTTTGCTGTTTTTCATTCTCTGTTTTGAAAGATATTCATCTCACCAGGAGCTGGAAACTCCACGACGAATATCGTCTTACTCTGATGGTCGAAAAAAAACTGGCTCATTAGCCATGGTGAGGAACAGATAGTTCCAATAAATTCGTCACTGTTCGTTCCACACAACGTATTCAGTATCCCCCGGAGCGTAGGGCAGCACCGGTGTCTCGTCAATACCACTGAAGTGCCGTAGGTGGTACACTTAGGTCCGCGTTATGTCGATCGATATAGGCTAACACAGCATCTGTATCTGTAGGGTAGGGAGGGTAAGTGTAGACCAACAGCACCCATTGTGCATCCTCCCGAGGAGTTGTCCTCCTAGGTCATCGTCCATTCTGTCCTTTTCAGGAAGGTGAACAGGTCACTAGGAGACATCTTCTTTATATCGGCAGGTGAAGGCTAAGACTCGCCCAACACACACTTTCTTTGGCAACCTTGTAGTGTCTCACGGCGGCCTTCGTGAAGATTTTGGAAGGTGCAGCGACATTACTGTCGTTGCGCGGCTTCCTTAAACTTCTTGGTGTTCCCTCCGTACAGGGGCAGCCGGTTCCTTGCATTTATTCAAGGCGGAGCTCTTAGCGACCACCGCAAAAAGTGCCCTTGCTCTTGGAGGTGGAGTGGAGCAGTAGGAGGGTACACTTATAGTTGCAGCCACTCCTGTCTCTATTGCTTTCTTTCTCCTTTTCGCCTCGGCGCCGCAAATGCGCTTACGCCTTGGCCTTTGTAATATATCACGGGGTGATCTGCCATGTCCAGCCTCATTCCGAGCGGTAGATTGGGGTGGCCATTTCTGTTCATCCCAAGCCATCGCCATAGATTGAGGTGGGCATTTCTGTCTAACCTTGGGATTGGTTTTTGTTGTTTCTGTGTCTGTTTTTGTGTTTGTTTCATTTATGTGTGTTTCCACCAATAGCAGGGGAAGAGTTGGTCACTCTGGCAGAACCCCACATTACCAGAGGAAGACTGGTTACAAAGAGGTTTCGCCTGGTTCCCCAAGGGGATTGTTCGTAACCGCATATCACCCTGCAGCCATTCAGATGTCGGCACGATTCCTTAAACATTAGCTTGGGTAGGCTGGGCCACGATGGCATGTTTCACAAAGGCTTTTGGGTGAAGACGCACCCGATAGGCAGCCCAACCCACATGCTGGACATGCTGACGCCAAGTGCATTAGAATTGGAATGGCCGAACTACAATCCACCTCTACCTCTGTGGTGTGTTAAAGTGAGAGAACGATTTGACGTATGAGTGTGAGAGATGGAGACGGTATCGAGCTGATCCGTTGCAAAGATGAGGCGTGGACGGCCAGCACAAGCATTACAGGTACGGTGTCGGTTGTAAAATGGAGCAATGCGACGTATGAAGCGTTGCCGGGTTTTTGAAATTGAGCATGAAAAGTTAGGAATATGACGACAGGACAAAAAATGACGATACGACAAAAAATGAGGACGACGGCGATGACTAGGAGGGTCTAACGTTTTAACGCGCGATCCAACATATCATAAGGGCACTAAGCCGTAGCATCATCAGGAAGAGGAGGAGACGGCAACAAAAAGATCAGATGTGTATGAGCATAAACAGAAAAAGGTATAAAGGGTGTCGTTTGAGAAAGAAAAAATATGCGGTAACGAGGATTCATCGTTTCAGTATGCCATCCCTTCCTCTAATGGGTAACGTATACTAGAATACCATTAAATTGCCTTAGGTGGTAATGAAGCACAGTTAGGGCCGCGTTATGTCGATGGATATAGACCGAGACCGCATATACTGGACATGCTGATAGCAAGTGTATTAGGGTCTCGAGCGCCTCGCGAGAGGCCCTGCATCTCGTGTCAGAAACCGCTACATCCATCATGCTACTAAGACAAAGGTCTTGAAGACATAACCTAGCAGGCCATGACAAACCCATCAGTTTCCGACTTCAGCATACTCGAGGCGCTTGGATATGCCTGAATCTTCAATGTTATTGAAGAATACCTCATGCATTCGTTTATCCTTGTATTGCCGCAGAAGTGACCTCTGCGGCATTCATATGGGCCTTTTACTGGACGGGTTTCAACTCGATGACAGAGTTGTGATCCCCTCGTTCAGTATCGAAAACTAAACTGTGTTCACCAGCTGCTCGAGCAGCTGACTTGCAGAGAAATGCTTCATGATCGCGGTCCATACAGAGAAGAGGGAACAGACTCCTGAAGACTGAAGACTTTACAGGCTCCATCCAGTCCATTGCCTTCCTGTTGTCGGGGGAAGTAAAACCATGGAACGGACGGTTTGGTATGCAAACTTTACTTTACAGGCTCCATCCAGTCCATGGCCTCCCTCTTGTTGGGGGGAGTAAAACCGTGGAACGAATGATTTGGGATGCAAACTCTATGAAGGTGCATCATTTTTCGGGCCTCCACGTCGAGTTAATATAGCTCCTCTAGGATCAATTCCACTACTCCAAACGAGAAGAGTAACTCTGGAATGGCAAGCATATACATAGCAGCGACATTGTTCATCCCCGACAGTTGCTATGACCAGATGTGTCTGAGATCTACCTTCATCTCTCACATGTTATATATCTCTGTATCTCCGCTCAATATTACTAACAATAGATTGAAAAATAATTTCACGACCTAGGTTCCATCAAAATCTCAATCTATCCCTTTCAGATGAAGATATTTAAAAATATATTTTCAATGTAATAGATTTCACGTAAAAGTACTTACGTTGAAGAGTTATGAATACATGTTTTTGACAGTTTTCAGCTGCAAATGAAAATATTCTCGAAAAATTATTCCATACTTTAGTAATCATAATAATATCGTCTTGATGACAAGTCATCATTCAATAGCTCTTCCACTTAACCTATAGATAATAAGATAATATAACCTATAACCTATATATAATATAATATAATATAACCTATAGATAATAAGAATCGTTTGAAATTGGTATTGAAATGATTGAAGTAAGTCATCTCGTTTCATGGGCTCGGGAATGTCATTATAAATTGCACAGATTTGGTAGCTGAAACTCCTTCTGAAGAACTCTGTGCGAAAGAATGGCGGAGTTAGTCGGCCTTTATACCTCACATTAATATTATGCACATCAGTTCTAAAAATAATTTTCTGGTGTAAGTAAGACGAAACTTTATTATTAATTATTTTGTGAAACAAAGTTGCAGCATGTAACATTCTCCTATCGTTCTTATTTAATCAGCCAGCATCCTTCGGTTTAAGTGATATTCTTTCTCTGCTTCTAATACCAAAAATCAACCGTAAGCAGGAATTCTGAACTTTTTGTATCTTTTTCTTGAATTGGTTAGTTAAACATGGACCGTACAAAACATCAGCATAATTGAATATAGATATAACTAACGATTTCGGTGTCCATATATAATTTTAAGCGAATAATATGCTCGCCTAATAAACTGATTAACCTGACTTTTGAATTTCAAGTCCTTATCCAAAATGATGCCCAGGCTTTTGGCTTCTGGGACAACCCTACTAGTACTTTCACAGATTTGCAAATATCATTTCTAGGGCTTTTTGGTCCGAAAACAATAACATTGGGTTCACTACAATTTATATTTAAGCAGTGATCAGAAGCATTTTTCACAAATAATTTTAAGTCACTATTGATTTGAGTACACGCATTATCTATCATTTCAGGTGAGAAGCTATAATAAAACTGGGTATCGTCTGCATACAAATGTATATTACAAAATTTTGAACATTTTGCGAGTTGAGATGTGTAGATAGCAAACAAAAGGGGTCCCAAAATAGAGCCCTGTGGCACTCCACATGTCAGCTTTAAATATTGTAAGCTGTTTTCTTCTATGGTAACGATTCGATTACTGATATATCATTTTTAGAGAGAGTTGAGGTGAAATTACTATTGAAAGGATTCATTTTGGATTATCTTGTAAATAAATAGTAACTGTGATATTGTTCTCTCCCCTGTATTTATTTAAAGCAATTTATGATTTTATGAAACGTCATTACTGGAAAGCTGGTCATCCTGCCTAGAAAATTGTTATTGAAAATATTGTAATATTTTTTTACAGTATGCAGCACCACATCATCTGAAGATCTTGATCTAACAATGTCCTCTCTCTTATAAAACAAAATGTAGGGTGTCTCCAGAGGCTCCAATAAATTCAATGCATCGCCAGAACACTTCGTGACGCGATTATCGTCAAATTTAAACCAGTCCGTTTCGTCTTTGACCAAGGCGTAATAATAATAATTGAAAATATTAAATTTGTTGAATAAAATATCAACATTTTTTGAGAATTCAAAACAGTATTTTTTGCTCAGTTCAAAGTGATTTTTCACGTTATTTTATGCACGTACTATATGAAGGAAATTTGGTGGTTGTTTCCATTCACAAACTGTTTCCTTCAGAATATAGATCATTTGTTTCACCAACAGATTTCATAATGAGGAACAATCATCTATTCCGTCTAGTAGCGAAAAAATAACTAAAAATAGGCAGATAAATTTAAAAAATATACGGAAATGGAGGTCTACCGTTACTAACTTGACATCACATGTTTTTCATGAGGCGTCAATTCAGTGCTACGTTAATTTAAATTCCAATTTTATTTTTAATGAATTTTCATGGCGATATATCACACATATCAGCCTTTTTTTGTGGGCTATTTTTACAAACAATGTGAACGTGGCAGCTAGTCGTCCAGTTTTATCAAATCAATTGGAATTTGGCACAAACAAAGTATGTGGGAGGGGAGATTTGCTTCGATGTAGAGCTTGTCGGATCATTTGT